CCACAGACCTTGTTCCAAAGGACAATGTCATGTAACTGTTACACAAATGCCATGTGACCTGCCAGTCATGCTGATGTAATATAGATTACAGGTGTCTTATTCTAACCAATTGTGAAAAACAGTTAACCATAACACAGAAAGAATTTTTAAATTTTCTGTTGACACTAGATTAGAGACTTTCCTTTATAGTATTATAAGAACATTCAAATAAGCATGCATCAACAGGGTTTTTTAATAACTACTAATGCTAATTAGTAATTATCATAATATGAGTTAAAGTGTCTTTTCTTTATAATAATATAAGAACATTTAAAGGTATGAAGTTCAAGATTCTGAATAAGGTAAAAAGCTATCTGGAAAAGTTAATTCAGCTTTATTCTCATTAGTACACATATATATACAAAGAATTGAGTCTCAGGAGCCAGGTGAGAGTATTTGGTATAAGTGTGAGAATGTATGATTGTTACAATTATTTGAAAAACTTAAAATAGTAAGAAATATAAAATATAACATATTGTTAGCATAGACAAAAAAAATAAATTTACAAGCTTTTTTTTTATTTTACAATTGTTTGTAATAACAAAAAGTTTTACATCCAACACTGGTGTTAGTATTTGAGTTCATTAACCAAATGTTGCTTATTATAGTGTGATCTGAATATGAAGAATCCTATCCAAAAAACTAACATCAATGCATATCAATATTGTAGAAAAAATTTAAAGTTAACAAATAAATATGTTTTATTAATTCAAGCAATGCAATTCTAATAATGTAATTAATTGTATTTACTTTTAGATTGATTTGATTATAATATTAATAGAAAATAGATAATAGTATACTGATGTATATTCTAAATTAGATTTATTAAGTTAGATGTATTGATTTTTGCTTATTATAATTAGAAATACAAAGCCATTCTGCAATAAATAAAAGAGAAAGCCTGAAAATACCAACTATTGATAAAAATTCAAAGACAACTGCTATTAATGAAAACCCCAGAGGAACTATTATTAACAAAAAATGTAAAACATGCAAGGAACCATCTTGAGTGTTTAAAGAAGAACACTTTCAAACTAACTTTTTAAAAAGTAAAAATTTATTTTAGGTTATATTACAAAATCTTGATATTCAAATCTCAAAAACCATAATCCAGACATGACTACTACCATTGGCTACTACCTTCAAAAATAGTACCTTCTATGATTAAAACTCAAATATTATTCACCATCTGTACTGGTTTGTTATTTGAATAAAATCTGAGAATAGTACCTAGTTCTCTACATAGTACTTATAAGTACTATTTAATTTTAAAATTAGAGTTTTTGAATAAGACTCTGGGTCAGTAAACAGTGGCAAATAGTAATATTTAAAGATTAGTAATAATATTAACAATTATTGTCAAACTTTAATTGTACATTGTGCATGTCAGTATTATGGCCTATCGAAATTTTGAATATCAAGATTTTGTGATAAAAACCTTTATTTTATTAAGTTATAATTTTTGTTATTAGTATATAATATGTAAAATATAATTTTTTAGTTGATTATTCAATGTATAAATTGCAAAAATAATTTAAAGTATGAAAGTGAATCTGAAACCAGCTTCTTAATTTGGTATATAAAAAACACAAAGTGTAAAAAATATTTCAAAGTTGACAAATCACAACAAACATTGAAATTAGATATATTAGGTCTTAGTATATACAAATTTTCTCAAGAAAGAAGTCATGAAGACTTGTCAAAAATGATAATAATGCATGGATATTCATTTCATATAATTGAATATGAAGAATTCCAAACCTTTGTTAAAAATTTGTAGTTAGAATTTAAAGTAATATATAAGAAGACAATACATGAAAATTGCAGTGTTATTGTTAATGATTTTAAAGTAAATATGTATATAATGATACAAGAGGCTTCTAGATATTTGTGTTATATAACTGATTTATAGACATCGATTCAAACTGTTAAATACATAGTAGTTACATGTCACTTTATAGATAAAAACTAGAAGTTTCAAAAAATAGTTTTAGCATTTAAGAAGGTTCCTGTGCCATATATGGGTATTGCTATCAGTGAAACTCTTTCTAATTGTTTTAATGATTGGTAAATACTTTAAACCTTAAATCAAATAAATATTAAGAGATAAATCATGGTTAAAGGATATAAAAAAAATAGTCAGAAATTATTATCTCTTAAACTGTATTTTAGGCAAATTTGTCTGAAAATTTATAATTGATCTATGATTAAACTATCAAATTATATTAATTGTAGTCTAAATCATAGTAAATATATAATTAAATTAATGATTTAAGGAATAGTTTTGCTATAATACTGGAATGTAGTTAGTTTACAATAAAAGGTTTTATTTAACTAAGTAAACTTTTCTTATACTTTTAATAAAAATTATATAATAAGTTATTCTACTCTGGTAGTAAAATTATTGAAATCTGATTAGTCTATTTTCTTTTTGTAACTATATGAATTTTACTTATTGTCAGAAACTTTCAACATTCTATTACTATAAGAAATTATTAATTTTTTATCAATTTTCACTAAGTTTCATGCTCTTCAGTTGCAATTTACCACAAATTTTATAATTGTAAAAATACCAATTACTACTAAACAATATTAAACAAACTACTAAGAGTATTATGTCAAAAATATTAGCAATTACTACTGATAATGCAATCAGTAATGATGCTGCAATAGCTAATCTGAAACATAAACTTGGAGAACAGAATATGCTTATCACTAATAGATATTTATTACACCAATGCTATTGTGCTTACATAGTAAACCTTATTGTTAATGATGGTTTTAAGAAAGTTAAAAGTATCATATACAAAATCAAAGAGTGTGTAAAGTAGATTAATGATTCACAATGTCAACAACAGAATTTTGAGAATGCTATAATTGGATATGATAATGAACTTGCATCAAATCAATGACCAACTCTTAATGTACCTACCTGTTAAAACTCTGTGTATCTAATGCTCATGTTCACTATTTCTTATAAAGATGTGTTTGAGTATCTTGCATTATGAGACACAAACTTCGGGCAAATTATGCTTTCTAATAAAAACTAGGAAAAAGCTAAAAGCATTTGGATTTTCTGAAACTATTTTATGAAGACATTTTTTTTTTTTTGCTTATGTAAAAGCAATATTAATCTTAATATTTAATATTTATGAGGTTAAAGGGTATAAAAATAGTAAATATAATAGTAGGAATTGTTAGAAGTTTATATAATTTTTTTATAGAATTGAAATATGGCTAGCTAACAAATAATGGTTTTTTTTTATGCCAAGTAAACTTTTCTTAAGTTTCTAACTAAGATTATAGACCAAGTTATTCTGATTCTAATACAATAAAATTATTCAAATTGGTTTAATAAATCACATTTTTTTCTTTATAACTATATAATTGCCAAAAACTTTTTTTATTCCAATATTATATGATTTTTCACTGATTTTTACTATAGAATTTATACCTTTTAACTGCAATCTTATACTTTTATACTGTACTAACTTATTCTTTAATTATATAGTTATGAATCTTATTTCAGAAAGCATATATTCCATAGCTAATATTTTTCTTCCTCACATAGTGAAAATTAAGCTGTATCTTGAATGAAATGCTGTTAATACAGATCTATTTATTTGTCAAATGATAGAACTGATGCAATCCAAATTTGATAAATATTGGTCAGATATGGGTGATATACATTGTATTACTTCTATTATAGACTCTTGCTATAAGATATTACTATTGACTTACATATATAAACAAAAAATACATTTGTCATATATTGAAGCAGAAGAAATATTAGATTTTATTAAAACAAGGTATGTTGGGCTTAAGAATGGCTCTGAAATTCAAAAAAAAAAATTCAAAAAATAAAGTAATATTGTAATTTTCTTTTTTGAATTTCAGTCCATTCTTAGTTAGATTATCATTATACAAAATAAATTTCTTGGTTTAGTTTATAGCAATAGATATTTTTTAAATGAAAATTATATATAAAAAAAACAAAATTCATTAATAATCATTTCAGCTTTATTTAGTCAATATCATATTAAGTAATAATTTACAAAAATATATAACTGCAGCTAACCAAATACTGGCTAAATGAACTTCTGATAAAATGATTGTTGATCAAGCAAGCACTAGGCAGTTATGTTAGATTTAATTTAATATGATCTTATAACTTTTGCTTTTTATAGAACTACAGATATCAGGTGTGGGTCTCATAGCTTAGCAGTTAAGCTTTCATGCCTCTACAGTCAAGGTTAATGGTTCAAGTCCAGCTAAAGGCAAAAAAAACTAAAAGATTTTAGCCTCTGTAACCCAATAAGAAGCTAGTAATTGAATGCGAAGCCCTGTGATTAAGTCCAAGTGCAGTACATGACCAAAGTAGGAATTTCTAAAAGGAGACCCAATCATGGAGCATAGGCACTATGTGTAACAAGCGGCTGTTACAGAAGGTTATAGTTATGAAAAGATTGCACATGTAAGTCCTTTAGGCTAGGGCAGCACCAACATCCCTATACCTCCCAATTAGGCAGTATCAACATCTCTGCACCCAACTTGTAGAGTACTTGCTTAGAAGAATAATCAATGGATTGTGCAAATAAGTCCTAATTGGAACCCAAGAAAAAGGATTTGATTGGGAGAGTAGTCTGAAAGTAACCAAGACTGGAATAATGAGAGAAGTAATGAATATGAGAATAGGCTGTGGAAAAAGATTAGCCTTATTAAGATTGAAAGCACCTCTGGCACTGTGGAATGTCTAGATATTGAAGATAGCAAAATATATAGAGGAAGTAACCTGTTCTGTATGTCTAAAGATACTAAGCCGGAGCTCTGGTCACACCTATATAGAAGTCTATGAAGATATAAGGATGAATGTACCAACATGAATGCTATACCAATCAAGATTGAGATACCCCAAATTGGAAGTAATAGTAATATTACGATGATGATAGCTAGAAGAGATAACTCGCAAAACAGGTTTGGACTATTATCATAAAAAGGAGTACTAAAGGGGCAGGTTAGTTGTAAAATTCATTGAAAATAATGTTAAGACCAGAAGGGTGCAAACTAGTAGCGGCAGCAGAGATCTGGCTTGAGATACGTGCTACTAGTACCTGCATTGGGAAGTTAGCAGTGGCAGCAGGACTTTGGCTTGAGATACAAACTGTAAAGCATTGTTTTGGCAGACCAAAGATGGTAGCTCATAAGGAGCGAACGACCTAATAGACCAATTTGGAAGTTGTTTAAATAGGTTGTAAGACATGGGGGGAATATGCAGGTTATCTAATATAGATGGATGT